GATGTTTTGATTTGGTCTCAAATCATCATCGCGTTTTTCTTCCAAAGCGAAATTGAATGTAGAATACGATGCAATTGAACGTATATTTTCAGGTCTTGATGAATGAATGTTGACATTTTCAGATGAAATTTTATAAGATGCAGTGACGCCATCAATGTTTGGAGCTGCAGATTCATAGCTTGGATAATAACCCTGTAATTAAATAAATTCGATATTAATTCTAGCGCGCAAAATTTGAAAGTATTTTCCGTGATATAAACATAACCACCTGTTGATATTGAAATTCTGTATGATTGCAACTGTCCTGTGTCGATTGTGCATTATCCCTTTGCACATAAATGCCATCTGAACTGCGTTCGGCCGAATCTGGTACCGTTTGTGTTGATGATGGTGTTGAGTTATTGGTTGATGAATCCGACAAATCAATTGATGAAACATTATTCGCGAATGAAAGTGGATTGTAAACGCCACGCAATGAGCTTGGATGTCGAAAGCGATGCACTCTAAGGTACCGAAATGATCGAGCTATTGAACTTATGAAATTGAAACCGGGAATTTTGTCCGGCAACAGAGCACACGGTTTTTTCAATGTTTCATAACGTGAAATACTGTAAAATTCTGGTTTTTTGTACGATTTGTACACGGTATCACAATAGGCTGATGAAACTAACATTTCATGCGAATGATTTGCCTCTTTGCTCGTACAAATTGCGGTCAAACGTTTCGAAAAGTTTAAAACATTTACATAGAAAAAGTGATAAGAAATTTTACTTCTGTTCGATCACTGATCACTGTGGTGTATGCGAAAAAGTAAAAATTAAGAATGTTGTTGGTATAACTCCTTTTAAGATGAAAGAATTTACTTTGAACACTTATATCAATAACACTTGAAACGAAAGGAACTATTACAATTATAAATCTCATCACAGACTTCATTAATAAATCAAATAAACGACTCGCACAGTGAAATTGTTAAAAAATGGTCATTTATTCCATTTCAATTTCAAATGTATAGCAAACGTTTGAATAACACATTAAAGACATGTAAATGATGCCGGTTATGATTTAAAAAAACGAAAAACAATCTCAGTGACCATCATTTGCGTATGAACTTTTTCTATCCCAAAAATGATAAGACACACGCGAAACATTCTAATCAATTTTATTTTTGTTTGAACTAAAAATTAATTTCATTCCACTGCAAAAAAGATCTATCGAAATACAATGAACAATCTGCTTTGAAAGACCACATCCGCTGTAAATGATCAAGTCCAATCTTTAATTTAATAATTTTATTTATTAATTATCTATAAATAAAAGTGAACTCAGTTATTAAAAGCACATACTTGTTGAGTTGTCATGTTTCAATTCTTTGATCTTTTATTTGAAACACATCTATTCATAAAGAATAACAAAATGACTCATTTTTTCTTCATACATTTGCTTAATCTGCAGTTATGCAGACGAAATGACTTTTTGACGTACACACAAATAAAAAAAAGTGGGTATTTCGACATCTGCTGTAAAAGTCTTGAGCATGTAAAATAAACGTAGTCGAAAGTATTGTTCAAACAAAACACACAGATAATCTCAATTCGAAACCCTCAAGAGGTTACAGGGTGAGTCGGACAATTTCTGTAAAATCGGACCACCTCAATAATGAGTTAAACTTTTGTTTTGTTTGGTCATTTTCTTTGAAAAATGTTTAGCCATGACCGGACTCTATTTCCATGTAAAGGTAAGTCCAGGGGCTCTTCGCTTTTGGCGGTCTATTTGATTAAATTAGCGTCATTATCGAACTGCGAAAAATGTATTTAATAAGTGTTAAAAATGATGAAAAAGTTATAGTTTTTTGCAAATTACAAAAAATAGACCAAGATCTTTGAATTCAATTATTGCAAAAAGACGTATTCGTATATCTTACATATTTTTTCATAACTTTTAACCCTAAACAACATTTTTTCCGGAAAAATCGAACCACCCTACTTTGGAGTGACTATTGAATCAATGTAGTAGTATTGATATCATATGATATACATCAGTAGTGTGCGGCGGGGAGGTAGGGGGGTTTACCCCCCCCCCCCCTGTGATTTGGATGAGAATTTTTTTTCGTGAAATTTATTCGAATTTGCTAGGGTTTTTGATTCAAAAGTGAAGACATTTTTTTTTTAATGTAGAAAATTGAGGAAAATTATTTCAATTTGCTAGGGTTTTTGGCTCCGAGAGATTGTATTCAGATTTGCTAGGGTTTTTCGTGGAGAAAATTCTTTCGATTTGCTAGGGATTTTCGCCTCAAAAAGTGACTTCCAAAAAAAAAAAAAACGAAAATTTGTCTGATTTGCTAGAGAATTTTTTGTCAAAAGTAAAATCACCCTCCCCCTCTGAAAAATTCTCCTCGCACACTACTGATATACATATATCAAGACATATCCACTGATAAGATTATAGCTTTAGTAGTAGCTCGTTGATTTTCTTTCACCTTAGTCACGAGTTCACATTCAATCTGATAAGATAAATTCAGTTTAAAATTAATACTAAAAATGTTTTCGTTCACTGAAAATTGGAAATATATCGTATTTTCTTGCCTAATTGTGGTACTGACACTGGTTTATTTGTTTCTAAAATGGAATTATTCGTATTGGGATCGTCGAGGATACAAAACCCTACCTGGATACCATTACCTTATTGGTCATTTAAAAGTTCCGCCAAAGACTACAATGGCCTCTGTATTCAAAGACATGTACAATTCAACGAAAGAGCCATTCATTGGGATTTACACATTGCTACGACCAATATTGTTGGTTCGTGATCCCAAGCTAATTCGCATGATTTTAATCAAAGATTTTTCACATTTTACCGATCGGATTGTTGAAATTGACAACGATTATGATCCCATACAAAGTCATCTTTTCACATTACCTGGTCATAAGTGGAGAGGTTTGCGATCAAAACTTACGCCGGCCTTCACATCAGGTAAATTGAAAGCGATGTTCACAACCGTAGTTGAATGCGGTTCAAAATTGCAAAATTATTTAGAGAAACTATCGCTCACTGGCGAAATGTTGGACGTACGTGAAATTTCAGCCAGACACACAACGAATGTTATATCGTCGGTTGCATTTGGCATCGATATCGACACAATTGCCGATCCAAACAATGATTTTCGTAAATATGGTCGCAAATTTCTTGAACCAAATCTAAGAAGTATGAGTGCTTTTATTGCACCATCACTTCTTCGATTGCTACGCATCAAATTATTGAGTTCAGAAGTTGAGCAGTTTATCATGTCGATGGTTCAACAGAATTTAGAATATCGTGAACAAAATAATGTGAGCCGCAAAGATATATTTCAGCTATTGATCCAGCTTCGCAATACAGGCACTGTACAGCTTGACGATGAATGGGAAACGGTGATTAAGGGCGATGATGAGAAAAAAATGTCACTCAATGAAATCGCCGCACAGACGTACATATTTTTTTTGGCCGGTTAGCACCTTTTTGTGGTTTCTAAGACCGACTGCCTCAGCCAATCATCCAATAATAGCAATTCTTTTTGACGTTTAGGTTTTGAAACATCATCAACTACACTTACATTTTGTTTGTATGAACTGGTCAAGAATCTCGAGATTCAGAAACGCGTTCAGAACGAAATCGATCGCGTCCTAAAGGAGCATGGCGGTAAATTAACGTACGATTCTCTTTTGGATATGAAATATTTGGAAGCGTGTATTGAAGGTGAAA